AGACTACATAGTGAGACCCTGCCTCAAAAGAGAGGGGGAGCGGGGGAGACAAAAACACAAGAAACAGAGACTCCAGGGCAGTGGTGCTGAAGCCAAGGTACACAAGCGTGGCAGGCAGTTCACTATCACTGAAAGCTCTGCAAGGTTCGCCATCACTGCTCTAGGGTACACACATCTACTTTGCCTGCTGAATGTGTGCTTTGTCTGACTTTTATTTTCTTGTTAGCTTTTGCTCGGTTTATTTTAAATAGTTAGAGAAACAGAAAGGTCACTAGGAGTCCAGGTAAATATTGCACAAGGACAGAAGACATCAGACATGCTGACAGTGTACTTTCAGCACAACCTTACCAACTCAACTATTGCCTGTTTGGTAGTGTGGTATTATTTGGACAAGTGTGGCTAAATTTCGTCTTGGTATTATTAATTCTTCGGGAAAGTTTGCTAAGCAAATGAACAGTACAGACAGGGGAAATGTTGAATATTTGCTTTGAGGGGAGCAAAAGCAAATGGACAACTTAAAAATCCTTTCTAATTTTACTGATGTGAACTTTTGTCTAATTATTATGTTCCCCAAAACCTGAGTTTTTTCTAAACCACCTCACGAGGGAAAATTTGACTTTCACACAAAGATGGAACATTTTCACGGGTGGAGGACAGCTGTACTGCTAATACCCTCACGTAAATAATAAATGTCAAACACTGGATTTCTTCTGTATAAAGAATGAGCTAATTACCAAGATTATTATTTGCCAGAGAGCTTCATCAGAAGTAACGCTCTGTCCGCAGTCTGAAGTCCACCAGTTTGCAAATAATGATACCATCAGCCACCACTGGGGCATTTCTTGCACACCAGCCAGGCCGATAAGCACTCCCATGGGCTTTCTCCTTATACCCACAAACAAGGGAGCTTCATACCTCACCTCCCCAAGGCTCAGAAAGGCCAAAGTACACAGCTGACATGAAAGTTCTGGGCTGCAAGCACCCCCAAACCTAAAAGCATTACACACCTTGCATCACCTGCTCAAAGTCAAAACCAAAGGGCTTCGAGAAATGTGAAAGTCAGGACAATCTGCAGATCTGCAGAGGAAGCCCAGCTGCAGTCCAGGATAGGGACACTGGTTAGACATTCAAGGTCACGTGAGTTTAGGAAATAAATGCCTCCCTAATAAGGAAAGCTCAGCTTATCTAGTTGGCTAGACTCACAATTCATGAAAGCATGATTCATTTTAACCAAGAGATAAATGCTTGTAAGAACGATGTGTAACCAGGCATGGTGGTAAACACCTGTAATCCCATATCAGGGGGGCTGAGGCAGGAGAATTGCCAAGAGTTCCAGGCCAGCCTGGGCTACATACTGAATTCAGGGCCAGCCTAAACTACAAAGCGAAACCTTGCCTCAAACAAACCTCAAATCAAAGTTTTAAAAATTGGAAAAAAACAGGAATGTATGAAGGTTAAATGTAATCTTAGGGTAAATGCTTTCTTAGAGTAAATGCTTCGGTTCTGAAAATGGACAGATTCCTTCATAGGGTTAAAATAATATTCTAAGAGTGCAGAGATGATAATTAGAAGCCATAAAAGCCAGGTGTATTGGCATACTCTCTGATCCCAGCCCCTGGAAGGCTGAGGCATGAGGCTCACAAGTTTCAGCCTAGCCTGGGGAACTCAGCAACCTAGCAAGACCCTGTCTCAAAATGAAAAAAATAAAAATAAAAAAGGGCTGGGAATATAGAATATAGCTCAGTATTAAGACCCTGAGTTCAATCCCCAGTACTGGGGAGAAATAAAAGAGGGATAAACCAGTCTCCTTCAGTGTCCAGTGTGTCCCCGAATGTGTCCCACAGGCCCTGAGAGGTGGGGTCTACAACACAAACTATTTTCATCGCGAGTCTCAGACATTTTCACTACGTTGTCATTTGGACTGCTGAGGCAAACCAAAAGTCAGTAGAACCTTGTGCAGCCCCAGTCGAAGCCATGGGGCCAAAGGGTGCTAGTGGCTATTATACTGTGTACCGCCAGACAGTAAAACCAGCAAACCAAACATTTTCACTGAAGAATGTCCTGACGAAACAGTAAATAACAATTCTATTAAGTTTCAGCCCATGAGTACTCATCTTTTAAATACTGTATTATGTAAGAAAATGGAATTTACACATGAAGCACTTCTGCTAGAAGCCAAGAACAACAGTTGATCCCAAAAAACACTGGCGCAGTTCCTTGAGTTGCCAGATGAACTAACCACATTTTGTATGAAATGTCATCTTTATTTGAATGAATAAGAATAGACAAATTATGGTTACTGAGACTTCAGTATTTGGCACGTAATTTTCTCAAATATATGAGTGAGCCTGTGACTTCAAGAAAACTGACAGTTATTTGTTGTCGATGTAACACTTAAGCTTCCAAGTGAAAACAAGTGGAAAATATGTTTCCATTTCTTTGAATTTCAACAGCTTTCCAATACTTGAAATTCTTTTTCAATAAAAAAAAAAGATGGGTGGTGCTATTAACAAATGTGATTTTTTTTTTTAGTATTGTTTTCCATTTCTTTGAATTTCAACAGCTTTCCAATACTTGAAATTCTTTTTCAATAAAAAAAAAAAAGATGGGTGGTGCTATTAACAAATGTGATTTTTTTTTTTTAGTATTGGATAATAACATTTCCAAAATCACCACCTGAAAGATGTGTACAACTTATTGAACATTTTCAAAATGAATAATGGCTAACTTTATAAAATCACATATAGGGAAAATAGTCAATCAAAGGGCAAGAGAGGCTTTTAAGGTAACAGTATAAAAGTTCAGTAACACAGTTTTAGATACCATGTTGTGACTGACCTTTAAGAAACTGCCACTTGGGAAGTTCCGCTGCATCAAAAGAGTATCTACAGTTACTGGAAAAGGCAATTAAAATATCCCTCCCTACTCCACTCCTACATCTGGGTGAGGCCAGATCTTCTTCATATGTGGCAGCCAAAATAGCACAACTGTTACACAGGCTACAGCAGAGATGCAGTCTGGCTGCCTTCTATTAAGCCAGACATGGAGGATTTGATATGATGTATGATGAGGTCACTTTTCCTATTAAAATTTTGGGGATAATATTGTTATTTTTCTTTAAAACCATTATTTATGAGTTTGGCATGGTGGCACATACCTCTAATCCCAGCTACTCAGACACTGAGGAAAGAGAATTATAAATTTGAGGCCAGCTGGGTCAGCGGGAGACTGTGTCACAAAAAAACAGTTTGAGGCCAGCCTGGTCAACTTAGCAAGAATCTGTCTCGAAATTAAAAAAACAACAACAATAAACAAACAAAGAAAAGGTGTTGAAGATACAGCTCAGAGCTCCCTAGGTTCAATCCCTAATACATAAAAAAATTATTTATATTCAGAAGTAATTAGTTTATTGTTTGTTTATTCATTTTGAGACAGGGTCTCACTATGTAGTTTAGGCTGGCTGTGAACTCCCTTCATAGCCCAGACTGGCCTTGAACTTGTGGTGATCCTCCTGCCTCAACCTTCTGAGTGCTGGGATTACAGGTGTGCACAACGCCTGGCTTAGTTTTAATTTTTAATATGATAAAGTCCAAAGATATTATACACACAAACACTCTTTTGAGGGAAGAGCATAAAGTTTTCTGGATTTGAAAATGATTGTATAGCAATATTAACTGACTTTTCCACAGGGTAAGCTAGAAAAAGACATGTTTATAGCACCTCAAAAGAACAAAAGGCAAAGGTCCCTTTTAAGCACACGACAGAATGTTCAACTAAAAACTTTTTCAGCTGAGTTTGGTTGTGTACACCTGTAATCCCAACATGTGGGAGGCTGAGGCAGCAGGATTGTGAGTTTGAAACCAGTCTGGGGTACACTGTGAGTTCAAGACCAGTTTGGACTACACAGTGAAGCTGTCTCAAAAAAGCCAAAACCAGCTGGGGATTTAGCTCAGTGGTTTCGCTGCCTGC